CATTCGTCACTTCAGTCAGTTATATAGAAGGATAACTTGTGTCTGCCTTTTGCGTTCGTCACTTCCGTTTGTTGAAGCCTTCATAACTCATCTATCGTAGCAATGATCTCTGTGATAAAATAATATTTGGAACGTGTTTAACCAGTTCTATCACATGTGTGATAATCACTGACACCAATATTGTCCTTTAAATATGAAATGCTAGCTGATCGGTATCAGTTCCTATTTAAGAAACGGTCATGATGCTATATATATATGTATATTTTAGCATAATACACAGGCAATATGCTATGCACATTGTCCATTACATGTGAAATTTATTAAGTCTGTAATTAAAACACAACCAATAAGTGTATATGTATAGTGACCAGTAGCCTATATCGTATATTACCAATAACATTTGGGGTTCATTGTATCTAAAACGTGTCACCAAATATTATGTATAAAATATAATCTAACTTTAATAAAAATTATTGAGCATTTTGTCGCAGTAATTTAGTTTATATTATAATATATTTTTGGAATATTGTCGAGAATCACCTAATTACCGAAATTCCAAGCAATGTTCTATTTAAGGGACGGTGTTACTGAACTGCATGAAAAACAATAAACAATATAGGTAATAATTTTTACGAATCGCTATGGAGTATTGTAGTTGTCACCATAGTATGCGTGCAATTTAATTGAAAACCCATGTGTAGTAAAATTCCGTAAAAAAACGATAATTATTTCATTACAGACCGGTGAAGATATCGAAATCGTCGATTCCTCTTTAATTTCGCTCTGTGACCAGTTAGTGCACTTTAATACTAAATGTTTAAGACTAAGCTATAATTGAGCATTGAACTCAAAGTTTGACGGATATAGGATCCCATGGCTATTCCTGTGATAAGCGGGGCGATATTTCATAAAATGCCAAAAGGTATTTTCAATACGAGCCTTGCATTGAATGCTATTGTGTAAATGAGTCAGTAAGACGTTAATTATTGTCAGTAATAGCTTGTCAACTACAGACCTGACCGAGAGGGACTACAAGCTGATAAAAATTGATTATTATGGGATGCAATTGAAAACATGAGCCGTTAGATTAGTTCATTATTGCCCTTTATAATTATTCTTCATTTCTTAAAGACAACCCCCCGCCATCTTACTTTACAATATCGGCCATGGCTAGCGTATTGATTTTTTCTAACACGTTAGCCGTCAAGTGGTCGAATAATAAAATATCAATCCGCTCGTTAATAGGAAGTAGTCCTAAAGGAGTTGTTGCCATGTTCGCCTGTCACTTCCAGCCTGACATACTCACTGTGTTATTACCCTGCAGCGACCCACGACTCTGCCACAGTAGCTAGACCAGAAGAATAGATTTTATAAAGCATTCTGATTTGAAATATAATAGAATAGGGGGCGATCATAGAAAATATCCGGCAACACCATGGGTTATCTGAACTTTAACCAGGCCTAAACGAGTAGTGGACATTGGAATGAAATCAAAAAAGGTTTAACGTCCTACTGTGTTTTCAACTGGCGTGGTTTCGAATCCGCGGTTGTACGTGACAAGGTGTAGGGTCGCCTGTCCAAGCTCGTGGATTTTCTCCGGGCCCTCCGCTTTCCTCCCACTGCTAAAGATCCCTACGCGCAAGCGAATTATTGAAATAAAATTAAACCATATGTTAGTCCCGAAATGACCTAGTTTGTGTCGAGTGGAAGTTAACCCCATTTTTCTCTCTCTCCCTACTGTGTTGCGCGGACTTGAAGACGGGTATACGCCATAGAGTGTTCTATGACGGAATTTTGCCCAAACACCGCGGACTGTTATTTCGAATTCCAAATAATGCTTTCATACGTGCTCGTCAATGTGTACACGTAACCTCAATTTTTCGTCACACCCTGTTTCCCTTGCCAGGCTCTCCGTTCTTTGCCACTGGCAATGGGAGATGGGGGCACGCCGAAAAATCAGGACGAACTTTCTCGGCCAACACATGGATCGAACACTGCCCATACCTCGAGCTTAGCTAGCCTACGTCTTAGTCACTGGGGTACCGCGGCCCACTTTGGCTGGGCAGTTCTAAAGGATCCATCTAGATACCCGGAGAAAAAAAAAATATTTACAAAGAAAGCTGTGTTCGTTGTTCCACAAAGGCAGATGGAAATAATTAATTGTAATAAATAATTTCCACGGTTTCAGCTGTACGACAAAGTACGAGTATGTAGCCAAAGCTATTCATTAATTTGATAGTCTTGAAATCTGGAATTAAAATACTAATTGTACTAGTAAAGTAGAACAGAAGGTTAGTACAATCGGTCTTAACAAACATGCAAATTAAAAACTACAATTGAACAAAAAGAACAGTCAATAGATACTTTATATAAATGGGAAAACATATCAGTTGACAAATGGAACCAGGTGCTTGAAATCGTTTATGAGAGAGAGAGAGAGAGAGAGAGAGAGAGAGAGAGAGAGAGAGATTAACCTCCACTCGACACAAACTAAGTAATTTCGAGAATAACTAATAGTTCAATTTTATTTCAATAATTCGCTTGCGCGTAGGGGAGAAAATCCACGAGGTTGGACAAGCGACCCCACTCCTCGTCACGTACAACCGGGGAATCGAAACCACGCCAGTTGTTTCAATGACAGACCTTATGATACAGCGCTAAACATTCGGCCATCCAACCGCCCTGAAATCATTTAGGAATACATCTGATACCAAGATGTCCTCAACAGATTCTTCTGAGTTAAAATCTGGTAAATTTTATGTTAAATATCAACCTTTAAATAGAATGAGCCCCAGTTAAGTAGATCTTATAACGCCAAAATGAAATGAAATGAAATGTAATGGGGTTTAACCTCCTACTGTTCTGCTCCTAAACTGGGCTAATGAAGACGGGCATACGCCATACAGTGTGCTATGAGGGAAATTTTGCCCGGGCAGCGGCGCTACGGCCTACTCTTATGTCGAATTCCAACTGTCAAGGGATCTTTTACGTCCCATCCGAACGACTAGACAGCTGTCCTTGTCATGCCCTCCGTCCTGCATCGCTGACAAGGGGAAACCACGCCGGAAAATCTGGATGAACTTTCTCGGTCAATGCAGGGATGGCTAAGTGGGTAAGACGCTGGCTCGCTAGCCTGGAGGTTGGTTGATCGATCCCTGCATTGGCCGAGAAAGTTCTTCTAGTGATGCAGGACGGAGGGCCTGACAAGAACAGCTGTCTAGTCGGTCGGATAGCATGAAAAACTGAGATACCGTGTTCACATTGGCGTGCGCGTAAAAAAAATCCCTTGACAGTTGGAATTCGATAAAAGAGTGGGTCGTAGTGCCCCTGTCCTGGCATTGTCAGAGATTTCAGTTGCACATTTCTTTCTACGGTATGAAATGTTTAAAAAATGGAAATAAAGATAAATCCGCCGACAAATAATGCCTTAACTAGCGAATAATAATTGTCGTAATTATTCTAACAATACAGATGTAGAAAAATGATGTTTGGGAAGTTAAAATGTTAGTTTTAGCGGATTATCTAGAATGATGGAAAAGAAAATATAGGCTGTTTGATTGACAGTTTCTAGCACAAAATCTACCCCGCAGTGTTTATTAGTCAAGTACATACCCAACAACACGTTTTATTTCCCCAAAAATATTATGGTCAAAATATTTTTCAAATTTAGCAATACAATAATCACTCGTCCATGCAAGATGATTACTGAAATATACTGGAAGTCGCGGATTCTCTCCCGGTGTTGGTCGAGAAGGATCATGGGGATTTTCCGATGTGATTTTTCCCCTTGTCAGTGATGCAGGATGGAGAGTCTGGCAAGGACAGCTGTTTAAACGTTCGGGTGGGACGAAAAAAAGAGGTCCGGGTGTACACATTGGCGTGCACGTAAAAGATCCCTTGGCAGATGTATACACTCTTTGGCGTATGTCGGTCTTTATTAACAGAGTTCGGAGCAGAACAGTAGAACGTAAACCCCATTTTATTTTTAAGAAATTAAGAATTAGGTGAAATTTCGAGTATCACAGGTGAATTTAGCCGTTTTCCTTTCTCCACAACAATTTCCCTTCAAATTTTTACGGGAAATGAAGTCTTCAATGACTAAAATCGCTTTGACCGTATTTTGTATAATAAATAATAATGTTTTCATAAATGACCAAAAATTGTGAACATTAATTTAAAAAGCTTTGGATATTTCTACGGATGCTTTTTAATAGATAATGTAAAAGTTTGAATAGGGTTTATATCTTTTTGTTTTGGGCTTTGGAGTTTTTGGGGGGTTGGGGGGTCGGGGGTGCGGGTAGGTGGTGTGAAGAAATATAAATACAAAAAAGAAAGGATTAATCGCACTTTTTTAATAAAACGTATAACGTATTAGTGTACACCTCAATTGGTGTTAGAAGTCATTTAACTTCCAGTTGCAATCTGTTATTTATTAACCTAATGCACTTTTAAAATGGATGATCAAGATTGTGTTGAAAAAATTAAAAGCTTTTAACCTAAATATCAAAATTTTAATGTTCGAGAAAAAAAAGTACAATGGATTTGGATGTTGAAAGAATATCTACTTTGAAGTGTGAAAAAAAAATATAAGATCGGTATTCTTTTTGGAAGCCTGCTCCTCCCATTGTTAAGCTGTAGTTGATAATAATGTTAATAATATATGCATGAAGGCAATATTAACTTTTAAACAACTTTCATAACACTCAGTATGATAAAGAGAACATTCTATAATTCCCTCGTTTAGTTTCGTATTTGGGGCTATAAGAAGATGTTGGGATGTCTAGAAGGGGGCTTGTTCGTGTAACGACTCGCAAATCACCTTGCCTCTATTGTCCTGATCCAATCACTAACTGCGATTCAGCGAATCATTGAATAGATTGCTTCTACTAATGCGACAATAATTTATTGATATCGTCCAATCAGAATGGGCCATTATATCAAATCTCCGACATATAAACATCCGTTGCTCGCGCTGTCACACATGGTATATTTTTGCGCGTGCACGTTTAGTTATGAAGTGACAGGCTTATTAAAAACGTTCATTAATTTTATGAGTTTTTATATGATACGAATTTAGATTTTTTTAATTTTCAGAGAAAATTTTGATTTTGTTATTTTAAACGGCATACATGACTGTCAATAATAACTTGAAAATGTTTCCAAATATTATTGCGCCATCTCCTATATACCAGAGTTTATTCCGAACACCTCTTCTGCAGCAAGCCCCCTCAGTGACCGGGTCTGCTTCATTTTTAGTGGAAAATTTACTGCGCGAACGGACATCAGGATTTCTAACTCGGCCTCCACACGGACTGGCTACGAACGCAATACACCACGAAAGAGACAGTCCTCCAGCATCAAATTCTAGCCCAGCGCCGTTTCTTAAATTTGGAGTTAGTGCCATTCTAGGAAAAGAATCACCTAAAACGTCATCAAATTCTGGTAAGATTGCATTTTATTATTATTTCTTTATTCCATTTTAAATAAAAACTGTTATTACAAATTTCCAAAAATCTGTTCATATTTTTATCAATTTTAGACTATGGCATTATACACATTTATGGAAGAATTGGTTCTATTATATAAAGCATCTCCGACTAAAGAACTATATTTGTATTAGGGCTATATATAATATGTTTGTTTGGGGTTTTTTTTGGCGGGGGTGGGGGGGTGGGGGGGCGGGGGTGGTGGTGTTAATTAGGTGGGCTGGGCCGCGGGGTAGTTTTATTTTTTTTTAATGTCCGTATTTATATCCTGAAATAAAATTTTGATTTGTGATTGGCTACTGATATACTATTTCTTATAATGGCACCACATTTTATTTCTATCTCACTCTTTCATAATTTTATTACATAATGGAAAAAAAACACAATCATTAACTTGAGATTTCCATTAAGCTTTTTAAAAAACTCATATAACAAGGTTGTTCCTATTTGTCAACCAGAGAGCTGTCAACCATTTGGAGACACGAAATTCAAACGCCGCACGTGCGAATGACGTATAAGTCTGAGCGATGACATAGTGGAAGACTTCAACAACTGTTATTATTCAACCAATAATATTAGCAAAATACAATTCTTTTTACTTAATGCCTTCTGATAATTTATGGTAAAGAAAATTATGTTTTTAGTTGTTTCGATATATTGATCAACTGCAGTTAAATATGGTAGTTTATCAAAGCATCAAAATTCGAGTTTAAATTATGCGGCACTGTAATTGATTTTAGGTTTTAGGACTTCAATATTTATTGTAAATACTATTTATGATAATGTATTAATCGTTTTATACGTATTGACGAAATACAAATTGAGCTTTGTCTCTTATAGTCATTTTATATTCAGCGAGTTTTCTTAGAATTCCTCTATTGTCAAAAAGATCGAAGATACAAAATTGAAGAATGGCGATTTTTAAATATATATTTATAATTGTCACAAGATTTCTTCAATTAACATATGATTGATTTCGAAACCTAAACCTAATTAGAAAATTATAAATCAATAAAATGGCCCCTCTCCAGTGAAGAGTCATTAATATTTATTTGTAAGCAGTTTGTACTACACAAAATTGGGAAAGAAAATCGCCCTTAATTGGAATGAGGTATATTGTCATTGTATTGTACTTAAGTCATTTTAAGACCTAGCATAATTTTGCCGGGACAGCGGCGTTTCCGCCTATTCTTCGCCGACTTCCAACGTCCAGGGGTTCTTTTACGTGCACGCCAATGTGTACAAGAGTGAACTACACATGCCTGACTTATTTCTATCCATCTGTTTAAAAGAGTATAAATCTTGTTTAAATTTGATTTATTTAATTCATTTTAACATCATCAATAATATACGATATGTTAGCTCTAGAACATGTGTTACCCCGTTATCAAATATTTTATCATAATCGAAATGAATTTTTGATGTGAATTTTAATTGAAGTTTTTATAATGAAAAGTTAGTATAACAAGAAATGTAATATAACTCACAACGACTTAGCGGTAGATCATTGATCAGTTTCTAAAATATGTTTTATGCATTTCATCTAGAATTATTAGTTTTTGTACAGAAATTTGATTTTATGAGTTATGTGGTGGTTTTCTATGGCTGGGTAATTTTTTTTTACACTTGCAACACGTTTTAACATCATAATATTGGCAGATTTTCGTGTAATTTAGTGGTTTTCCTATTGTTGATATTAAATCGTTCGATATGAGTTAAAGCGTCATATGTTGTAAGTTACCGTTATTACATTTTTACAAAAAAATGATCTTATGCTAAACATTAATTTGTCAGCTAAATTTGTCAATATTTTCTCAAAACGTCCAAATGCTGCAACATCGGGTTTTTGGGGGGGGGGGGGGGGGGGGGTTTGTTGTTTTTTTTGTATCTACACTGGACTGATTTTGCGAGTCACACGGTTCTGATTGCTGTTTGTCGTAGTTTATTTATGTCAAATTTAAACTCCCTAATTACCTTTTGTGAATTTAAACAAAAATTAATTTTCGCTCTTAAAGGACAATATTGGTGTCAGCCATGATTACATATGTGACAGGACTGGTTAAACACATTCCAGATATAATTTTAACACAGAGATCATCGCTACGATAGATGCGTAACGAAGATTTGAAGAAACGGAAGTGATGCAAAAATTTAAAATACAAGTTATCCTTATATATAACTAATTGACTGAAGTAACGAGATACATAGTCGAATTTCAGCTCACTGAAAATTCCGTTGAAGACAAAAAGTTGTTATATGAGACTGTGAGGGGATATCTGTCAATTCAAAAAAGATCTGACTGAAATTCTATCGCGTATCTGTTATCGCTCGTTACTCCAGTGAGTTATATAATATTAAGGATAGCTCATGTTTTTGCATTTTTGCGTCACTTCCCATTTCTACAAATCTTCGTTACGCATCTACCGTAGCAATAATGATCCCTATGTTAAAATTATATTTGGAATGTGTTTAACCAATTCTATCATGTAATAATAACTGACAGCAATAGTGTCCTTTAATATTGCGACTCGGTATTCGAATCCCACTACAGAAAAACATTTCGTTCCGTTGTTTATATTTTCAACTTTTAATGGTCGCCATTAACAACTAAATTTGAGCCATACAAAAATGAAACCAAATAGGATCTATGGTTTAATCAAATGTTTAATCTGTTTTTAATTCTCAAATTTCATTCTAATTACATAATTTAGTTAAAGATTTAGTTCAATCAAATATACCCGTCTCGATTTAAAAGTTTCGGACATTTACATTTAGGTTGCATAATTAAATTGTGTTTTAATGCATATAATTAAACTTTGTTTAATATATTTCAGGGTCACCAGTAGTTGGGAGTAGCGGCATATATACAATATCATCACCGAGTCTTCCTACTTTCTCCACGGCATGTAATAAAGCGTGTGGTTATTCCCTACACGGTGGTTTTCCGTGTAACTCATGTAATCTTCCACGTCATGGTTCCATTTACGATGCACATTTTAACAACATGCTTAGACCACCATATTTATCGGGTAAGTAGATTGTATTTCTGAAATATATTGATATCTAGCCATTAGCCTACCTATTACTGTTGAGACGAAATGTATTTATTTAGCGAATTTAGCGAATTCACAATTCCTATTCATCGAGCGTTATATTCCCTATCATTCAGACAACATTTAAATATTCTACGAATATTAACCTTGATGGGTTGTCAAATTTTGAAAAAAAAATAGGCCATAGGCAGGCTAGATTATCCATTCTTTTACATTATCATCTACAAAATCTACCTTTTTCAAACAGAAAGCGTAATAAGGAAGGTAGTAAAACAAGATGTCGACGCCCATGAAATTAATTTAAGAACTTCTATTTCAGAAAAATCTACTTGCATTGCCTGTTGAATATCCAACACTCCTACAATTTTTAGTATAAAATTTCTCTCTTGATTAAGGATCGCATCTATGGTGTTTATCAATCCCAATTTGTCATCACGATTAATGTTTGTTTATATTAATGCATAAATTGTGGGATTTATTCGGGAAGGGGTACAACTCATCCATTGCACATGTGTAACTGTGAGTTTTTTTATGCACTTTGAAGACTATGAGGTTCTGTGTGTCGAAGACTGCCGAATGGTAACGAGAGTTATGCCCCCTTCGCTTGTACGCTTTACCGATAAACGGAATTCTGGTATAGAAGTTTTTCGTTTTACTGTGCGCTTTTTTTAAAACTGGCCTAAATCAGGTTTTTTATTATTAATAACCACACCTTACGGTATGTCCCATAACGGTATGTCCCATAACCCCAAGACCCAGTGGGGTCATAAGGTTATGACACTATCCAATGATACATTTACACGTTGTCACGACTTTATTGAAGGTAGGGCCTACTAACCAGTTTATTGTTGTGAGCGAGTGTGAATTTAAATCGTATGTGTCTATAATAGCTGATTTTGTTCTTAATGGGTTGAGTTTAGAATACAGAAGAGTGTTAAAACCTCAGTCGTCACTTTTAGTACTTTACTTGAAATATGAGAATAAGAGAATAAAAATCGGAGTGGTTGTTAACATGGTCAAGCTCCTGTATTTATATACATCATCGTATACATGTATCGTGAACAATTCACTCTATTCGTCCAATGCAAACACAGCCACCGATTACCATTGTATCGCTTCAGATACATAAATGAAATGAAATGAAATGAAATGAAATGGGGTTTAACGTCCTACTGTTCTGCACCGACTGGGCTATTAAAGACGGGCATAGATCATACAGTGTGCTATGAGGGAAATTTGCCCGGGCAGCGGCACTATCGAATTCCAACGGCCAAGGGATCTTTTACGTAAATGGCAATGTATACACGGGACCTCGGTTTCCGTCCAATCCGAACGACTATACAGCTGTCCTTATCAAACCTTCCGCCCTGCACCACTGACAAAGGGGAAACCACGTTGGAAAATCCCGATGCACTTTCTCGGCTAATGCAGGGATCGAACATCCGACCTCCAGGCCAGCGAGTCAGCGCCTTGCTCACTTAGCCACCGTGGTTCCCTCTGATCAGATACAGAAACATAGTTACAACAGAAACAGTAAAGTTACATTAGTCTGTGAAGTTGATTAGGGGATGAAACTTTGACAATACAAAGGATGTGATTGAGGGCGAAAGACTCCGCCCCTAAAAAAACACCACTTATATAAGGAGTGGTAGCATTTATCACAAGTATCACTTCGGTTGAAGCGGATTTTAAATCAAATTATTTCACACACACTGTTGCAGACAGGGTTAAAGATAACAATAAATACTTCCTAAATAGCTTCCTAAAATGCATATTATTATGGTAGGGTGACCAGTGACTAGTGACCACACAATGGTCACTGACTATTGACCACCCAGTGACCACACAGGTTGTTCAAACAGTGATTTACTAGTTCAATGATCTGCAACTGCAGCCATAAATTGTCAAGTGGCAACTTGCCCTCTCGTTTTTCAATCCTATCCATGGAATTATAGCCAAGAGGAAATTATTAAATTTCACGATTATAACCATGGTTTCCGTACATTTTGAGAATTTATGGGGTTTTATTTTTCAATTCTGTGCTCGGAATTACAATCAAGAAGACGATGTAATAGTTCATATTTATCACCATTGTTTCGGTTCATTTTCAATTTTACTTCAAACATACAGTATATCTTTCGTTCAATATAAAATTCATTTTGATATATGAAGTGTCCTATTGACCCAGTCAAGTCAAGGGAAACATCTGGATGAATTAATATAAACTTAATGACGTAATATCAATTAAAATACAATTTTAGTCTGTAATGTGCAAATAATATTTATGTATAAGTCATATATTATGACTAATAATATTGATATACTGGCGTTGGCGTTAGGTATTTCTGCCATCTGCTGGAAAGGGTTTTAAAAAAAACAGAAATCCCGTGTTTGACGTGAACAAATCTGTATTACGTGTGTTTTTATTTTATTCCAATCAAATTGGAAATCAAAACCCCGATACTCTACCATAATATAATGTATAATCCTGAAAGAGAGAGAGAGAAATGGAGTTTAACGTCCACTCGACACAAACTAGGTCATTTCGGGACTAACATATGGTTTAATTTTATTTCTATAAATCGCTTGCGCGTAGGGGTCTTTAGCAGTGGGAGGAAACCGGAGGACCCGGAGAAAACCCACGAGGTTTAACAGGCGACCCTACTCCTTATCACGTATAATCTTGAAACCAAGGATGAGAAATACACTCTAAAACAAAACACCTTAAACATGTATCATTGCTACCGTTGTTACGATGATAAACAAATTCTCGAATATCCATTTTTTAATTATATCATTAACCGCAAATCGGATTTCGAGAGTTGATTATAGTATTGGCAAGTTATAGCGGTATTATGGAAGATTAGATAAGGAGCTGACAGTTTTCGCTATAACAGTTACAAAATAGATATTGTAATGGGAATATGCTGAAAATTTCAGTCAAATTACTTCTCTCTGAGCCGAGAAATCCTCATTTTAATTTCACTGTAGCCTCGATTATCATGGTTGTTATGGTTGTTTAGATAATAAACAAAGTCTCGATTATCCAATTTTACGGTTAATCATTATCGGCCGTTGAACCGCAGATTGGGTTCAAATCTCTTGATAATCAGATGGCACCGAGAGTTGATTATGGTCTTGTCATGTTAATATTGTATTCTAGGCTTCTAGTAATAGCAAGCGTAGGAGAACCACACCACACACAAACAATTACACAAGACAAACCCACCTTACAAGACACACAATATACACATATCAAGTGAATGGATCCGGGGGCTATAAACACCGCAAGAGGAAAGAAAATCAAATATTTCTAGATAACTAATTTTAAAAAATGGAGATTTTCTTTCCTAATGTATAGTAAGATGTCTGGAAAAAAGCATAAATTCCTACTACGGCAAAACGACCAATTATTGATGTCGTATTTGTAACGAAAAGTATGTCTTTAACCCACAAGTTAATTGAAGCAGAGAAATAAATAAACGGGTTTGCACTTTCGACAGGTTTTTGTTGCTCTTTATTTTAATTTAAATGTAACTAGTTTCCTTCTAGCAGCCAATTTAATAAAGAATGAAAGAAAAATATTTGCACAAATGTGTATTGATTTGTAACAGGGTGTGAAAATTACTATCGTTTATACTGTGTATGTTCTAAACCTTTAATAATACTCTGTAACTATTGTATGAGTTTTCTATTGTATTGTTAGTATATATTTGATTGAAATGTAAGCAATTTGAAATCACTTAATGAAGCCTAAGTTAACAGTCATTATCTATACATTAGTCAGGAAAGTTGATTGAACCACCATAAAATAGATCAATGAATTTAATATCTGTATAATAAAAACTGTATATAAGTAATTAACCCGCTTAGGCGCAGTGCAGAAAGGTATTATTTAAAAGGATAAAACTTTCCTAGACTAGTAAATGCATGTTCCAAACGCATGTCGGTGGGGGGGGGGCTGAATGGTCTGTCATTGAGTCAACTGGCTTGGTACGTAACAACCTCGTTGGTTCTCTCTGGGTCCTCGTTGGGCGTGCACGTAAAATTCGAAATAAGAGTAGGCAGTAGCTTTCAAGGCAAAATTTCAGTCAAAGGAAGTTGAGTAGCGTAAGCCCGGCTTCGGTAGCCCAGTCAGTGAAGAAAAGTAAGAAAAGTAGGACGTTAAACCCCATTTCATTTAACTGATTCCCTTAATTTTAGCCTTTAGGTCTTACTACCTACAGTATTTATTGACTCCTAAATAAAAGGTTATTAGTAAATGAACAAAATGAACTAAAGCCGGAAGTATTCACATCAGACTACGTCAAAGACTGTGTTTGGTTTTAAAAAGTAGAGAACAAAATTATTGAACAAGATCGGTAGGAATTATACAACAACAAAAGCTAATAAACGGATTTTTAACTAAGTCTAATATTTCTCTTATTGTTATTCTAATTAGGGGTAATTTATCATTTTTATTAATATGTTCTATACATTAACTTACATCGCATTACCGAGATAAATAAACTCAATTTTACTTTATTTGACTTCTTTTATTCACTGGACGACCTTTAAATAATACAAACCATAGTGCTATGTATATATTGAATGACAAGTCAGCAGAAATCAATCTGTAATTTTGTATATTTTACCCGCGGCTTATTAACACATCATCAACGATAAAGTAAGTGTTAGTCTGGTGCGTATGAATACATGGAGAGAATGACGCGTCACAGCTGGTGTGTATGTAATTACATATATTTAAATTGCCCCTGCGCACGTTATTAATTTCTTGCATTTAGGTTGTTTATTTACTATGCCCAGGGTTTAAACGTCGCTAGATTAAATCAAATTACATATATTGGATAAATTACGTATATATGGTAATAAAAAAAATAACCGTCGTAATGGCTTTTATTCTACCTTGTAAACCATTTTCCGCTTACCCAATCTTTAGACGTACGAAAACACCGTATATACGATTCATATAATTTTCTCCAGACTATTTTGTTGTAGTCGGAGAGGAGACAGTTTGTGCTGGAACGATCGAGACTAAGGGTCATCAAAATAATAATAATTTGGTAGCTGCCTCATAATAAATCTAATATGTGTTATCTTAGAGTAGAATTTTAACACTTTACACCCATTTTATGTACTGATGTAGCTTATCAGTTACAAAGACATGTCTAGTTTATGTGTTAAATCTAGTTTCATTTTAACTCATGAAATATACCTAATACTTGTGGGAAGATTTGTCATTCTTGTTATTTAATTGTAAATACAGGGGATTGGTTCACCGTGTTGGTGTCTTTGTGGCTAGTCCTTCCTTGTACAGAAACACATTTATACATATTTCGCATATGAAAGGGGCATTATGGGAGATTAGATAAAGAGCTGGCGGTTCTCGCTATAATAGTTAAGAAATGGATAACGTAAAGAGAATATGCATAAAATTTCAGTAAAATTGCTTCACTCTGAACCGAGATAATAGCGATTGAATTGTAGGAGTAGCCTCGAACATCATTACTAAAGTCGCTACGTTAAAAAACAAAGTCTCGATTATGATTATCCAGTTTGAAGCTAAATCATCACAAAATGTATTCAAATCAGGCTAGCGATGCCATTGATTATGGTCTGGATACGTTAATTAATGTCTAATTAATATATTAGATAACATTTCATGCAAAAAGAAAGACCAGCAATAGGTATATTTAGCTCTTGCATAATGTATGTTTAAGTAGAATTGGGCTATAGATACATGAACATTTCCAATGATTATCGGAATCTAGGAATGAAGCTTTCTGTTATTTTCTATGATATGGTTTACACACAAATATTGGGCGGTGGTGCTTCCAACTTTCTTTTCGCACAATGTATATTACACAGCCGTTGAACATGAATTGTAACCGAAGCAGAATGCAGTACCTTAAACTTTAAATTATTTTGTTTACGGTGAGCATGTCACTGACACACTATTGGGTTTGACACCGGTGTTGGCCGACAACGTTTCTCTGGATTTTCCAGCTTGGTTTACGTCGTCAGTGGTGCAGGTAGCCTCTAGACAGAAACCGTGTACGTAAAAGAACCCCTGACATTTGCAATTCGATGACAAATAGACCCGAAATTTCCCTCATAGCACTTTGATAAATTGTCTGATAAATTGTTTCAATGGCGGGGGGTTGGATGGCTGAATGGTTAGCGTGCGCGCGCTGTATCATAAAGTCTGTCATTGAGTCGACTGGCGTGGTTTCGAATCCCCGGTTGTACGTGGCAAGGAGTAGGGTCGCCTGTCCAACCTCGTGGGTTTTCTCCGGGTCCTCCGGTTTCCTCCCACTGCTAAAGACCCCTACGCGCAAGCTAATTATGTAAATAAAATTAAACCATATGTTAGTCCCGAAATGACCTAGTTTGTGTCGAGTGGACGTTAAACCCCATTTCTCTCTCTCTCTCTCTGTTTCAATGGCGTTTAGTATTGGCAGTCAAACTCATCGATCACATAAATATGAAGAACGGAAGGGAAATGTGTACATGTGTGTATCAAGCTTACTTTCATAATACGATGCAAGGATGCCGGTTAGAAGGGTTTCTGTGGGTGGTCAGGATTAACCAAGTATTGTTGTGTACATGCATAATTCATATTTTATCATTGCTTGATAACGACTAGAGAAGCCTAGTCGAAACTTTGCTCAGATATAATCAGTAATTGTATTCCATGGAATTGTGACTTGTACATAAATAGCACTCTGCATAACGTTAAACCACATTTCTTTTTTTTCTTTTTTTTCCTCGATTAATTGCGCATATGCTGTATTTGACGTTCTGGTAACGGGTGGTCTAGTTTGCGTGTTGTACGCATACATGTATCCGCCTATGAAAAAAGAAGCGTTTCATATTTCTGAAGCGAAAAGTGTGCTCAATGTTTTGACGCTAACGATATTCATTTACAATCGTGATTATACCACGAAATACAAAGTGTTACCAATGTTTACACAATGATCCAACATAACACTTGAATTTGAATTTCAACCCGTGGTCAGATATTGACAAAGATAATATTAATAAATGGGATAAAGAATCTATTGATACTATGGTGTTAGCTAATTTACATGCCATTATCCACCTAACATGGTTGTTAATTTATAGGTTTACCGGGAGGTAATATATATTATATTAAAAATAATTGCTTAATTATTAAATTGATTGTAAAATAAGATTAAATTTAAATTGATTGTAAAATAAAATTCATTTTAAATTTATTGTAAAATAAAATTCATTTTCAATTTATTGTAAAATAAAATAGATTTTAAATATTGATTATAAAATAAAATGAATTTTAATTTGTCAAACAAAAATATATTTCAAAATAAAATTCATTTTCAATTTATTGTAAAAATATATTCATTGCAACTAAAATTCATTAAAAAAATAAAGTCAATTGTAAAGTAAGTGCCATGTAAAATAAAATCCTTTTTTTTTTTCGATTTTCATTAACCACCACTCTTATCATCCTCAAAATTACCTAAGCCAACTTTTATAATTCAATAAAATTTTCTGATGTGAACATAATCAGAATAAAATTTCATAAAAAAAGAAAAGAAAACAAGAAAATACCAAAGAGAGATTGATAGTCGAATTTATGATATACGGGTAGAAATAGGGTTTAAAGTCGGTCAGCATAAATTATTTCAATGGAATTTAGCTATTGAAAATACAGTTTAATACACAGGGAACAATTCTATGTATTTGGCTATTTTGTATCTAATAGCCTGATAATTTATTTCTATTTGCACGTGCGTATAATACAAAGGGGGAGAATTTTTATAGCGTTTTCGCCAAAAGGCTAGATATAACGCTGCTTTTTTTCTTCTCTAGAACAGCGTATTCACCTACTCCTCGTAGAGCTTTACCTAAATCCTATAAGAATAGCTTCCTTCTCCATAATGTCTCTTTAACATATTAATGTTCTATTAGAGTCAAATATCAGTGTTATGATATTGACATTATATTCTTATCTCAGTCAGCTGTTGTCATGTTCAAAATACAAAAAAGAGAAAAACGTAATGATACTTTTTTGAATGAAAATAGATTCTATAATAATTGTTTAAAAACAAACATGCAAAAATATATGCTTTCTTAACGAGGTTTTGTCACTCTTACCAAGAAAAACAATGCAATTAATTTTGAATAATATTCAAATAATCCTAAACTCGACTAGAGTTTTACTTTTAAGTTTTAAGGAGTGTTTTAAGTGATTTTAAACATAGTTTTACTGAATGTACCAGCGCTATGCAAAATGGATTATTATTATTATTATTAAGCGCCTTCAAAAAAACACTAAAATCTTGTTTGACAAGTAACTTGGCGATCAAGACATGCCCGTTAAATAGATAAAATACACCCCAATACCCACACGTCAATAAGAAAACCAAATCAAATCAAAATGTGGTTTTATAGTTAATAGTCAGGAGCTAATAAGGTACATACATTTATCTTAGTTACCCCGTTACGCTAGAGCGTGCATATTTTATGATGCCAAGGGATCTTTTACGTACACGCCAATGTGTACAAGAAACCTCGGTTTTCGTCCCATCCGAACGACTGGACAGTCGTCTATGTCAAGCCCCCCGTCCTGCACCACTGACAAGATATAACCACGCCGGATAGATGGTACTATATTTTAATATAAATATATTTTTTCTATGTTTTACAGGTTCGTTTTTACCAATGCCTAACGCCTTCACGTTTCTCAGTAACATGCGAGGCAAACCAAGAAGAGGGATGTTAAGACGTGCTGTATTCTCAGACGCCCAAAGAAAAGGTTTAGAAAAGATGTTTCAGAAACAAAAATACATCAGTAAACCAGATAGGAAGAAACTCGCCTCAAAACTAGGTTTAAAAGACTCACAGGTATGCACCCGTGTTTTTATTATTATTATTATTATTCAATGGTGTGAGAGAGAGAGAGAGAGAGAGAGAGAGAGAGAAATGGGGTTTAACGTCCATTCGACACAAACTAGGTCATTTCGGGACTAACATATGGTTTAATTTTATTTCAATAATTCGCATGCACATAGGGGTCTTTAGCAGTGGGAGGAAACCGGAGGACCCGGAGAAAACCCACGAGGTTGGACAGGCGACCCTACTCCTTGTCACGTACAACTGGGGATTCGAAACCACACCAGTCGACTCAATGACAGACTTTATGATACAGCACGCGCACGCTAACCATTCAGCCATCCAACCCCCCTTATTCAATGGTCGTCTTGATAAATCATGATTGCACAGTAATACAATCAGTATCCGTTTGATTTTGGTTGTAAGCGTAGGTGAGGTGATAAACAAATTCAAAGAAAACGCCGTTAAATTAAAATTTATAAGTTATATAAATGTAGATGTTATAAAACATTTCCCTTGTTTATCTCTTTTGATCCGGTTGGGCACTAGTCTCTCATTTAGATTGTCTCGGGTTCAAATCCCGGCGTCGCTCATCAGAGGCTGATAAGGAAATTGTGCCCAGTCGTTTGGATGGGACCGAAAACCAAAATTGCCCGTGTAAACTCAATGCATTGACAGTTGGAGTTTTAAGAAGGATAGCCGGAAACGCTACTGTCCTAGCAAAATTTGACCCTATCATCTTGCAATGCACAAGTAACCATAGAAACGAAAATGACCATATTTTTTTTTATCTTAGTCTCGAAATAACCGAAGTATTGCGTTGACGAGACTTTAAACCCTATTCAAACCCGATTATCTCTTAATCGGATAAATGTGAATAATTGAGTGTATTTAATCGAATTCAGTAGAAAATGATACTTACAGGAAAATTATTCATAAATATATAATAAATTTTGTGTGACAAAGGGTGATTTATTTTGTTTAGATACCGTGCTGATTATTGAGTGAATTAACCGCCCCACAAGGATAATAACGTTAGCATCTGATATGGTGACTTTGGTGGCGACATCTGTGTGTATATAAGATATCTTTTACCTGGACAAAAACTAAATTTATTTTTCGGAATATTAATCATTTTACACTGCAGCCTGTGTATCTGTTTCCATTAATTAAAGATCTATGTCTGACAATCGAAAGCACAATAAAGCTAGTTGTTGGAAAATAGATTATAATTACCCGTTAACATATATTTCTGGTCTATAGAACAATATATTATCTTACATGATACCTTAAGCCACGATCATTTTACAATCTCTAAATTTTAACGTGGCTGAAAATGCCATTTTTAGGTTAGGGTGTAGGGTGGGCGCAAGCTGCCATGTCACATGCGTGACATGCGCCTACATCAATAAAGCAAGAGAGAAATGGGGTTTAACGTCCACTCGACACAAATTAGGTCATTTCGGGACTAACACATGGTTCAATTTTATTTCAATAATTCGCTTGCGCGTAGGGGTCTTTAGCAGTGAGGAGCAACCGGAGGACCCGGAGAAAACCCACGAGACTGGACAGGCGACCCTGCTCCTTGTCACGTACAAACAGGGATTCGAAACCACGCCAGTTGACTCAATGACAGACCTTATGATATAGCGCGCACGTGCTAACCATTTGGCCAACCCAATTATGTTAGCTATGTCAATTGTATAGATTAGTTATTGAATTTATCCAGAATAAGTTTTGTGGGTCAAACAGATGAATCAGGTGTGATTGTAGGAAAATATCTTAACAGGGCTAAAGCGAATAATACAACACTCCAATATAAACATTTAACTTATAAGGAAAAAGATATTATACCAGAAAAAAACATCGACATCGAGTGCAATGATTAAGGTCTGTATGCCCTTGTCGACCGTAGCACAATAAATCCCAACTTCCTTTAAAGGAATATGTTGAAATAAATAAAAGTAATTATATATATTTATTATAAATTAAAATACTATAATACACAGGTGTTTATATAGACTACAATTTATTACCTAAAATCAACAAAAACCACAAAATAAACTACTTGTCAATATTCATTATATTACCATATATTAAACATCGGTGACCGGCAATAGACGAGAACATAATATGATCTATTGTAAAACTTTATGTTTCATACAAGACCAAATTACTAATACTTTTAACTTAATAAATTGTTTAAATTGGTCAATCTCAGATTTACCCTATGATCATTATTTGTATTTTGAAAATTCAACCAAGTGTATGATGAATATGAATACACCCTGAACTATTTTATTGTCGATATTTTTATATGCTATTAAATAGGTTGCTATACAAATAGGGTAACAGATTGCTTTAGTATTACTGATAATTATTAAAGGTTGGGAACTTACTCTCATAGCTGTGGATTATACTATTATTTATATGTAATTAATTTCCCAACCTTTTGATTTATGGACTTTGATTTCACAAAATATATATTAGAACTATTTTCATAAAAGCTCCTTTAAGTTTAGAAAAGAAACAACCCCAAAAATTCAAATAATAGCCTATGTATTATGTTAAACATTAGATTGGTAACCTTGTCTTGATTGGTATAATAATATGACCAATATTTCATAGATAATCGCTGTCTTAAATGCCAGAATAATGGTTAGATATAGCCATTTCTGACAATACAAACCCGAAATAAAGGTATATATTATTATAAATTGAACTTAGATTAATATAATAACTTTTACATTGATTAATACATGACTAATATTTCATAGATAATGCCCATATTTAAAAATGCTACAAGAATGATTTGAAATGGATGTTCTGACCATACACAATCAAAAATGCTTTTTTTATTAAGACCTATTTTGGCCCAAAAATTATTAAAATCTGCCAGGTTTAAGTTCAGGCCATTTAAAAATTAAATGGATTTCTACTGATTTTATACAGCCTTACTGACAAGGGCGTCTAGAGTATTGCAAAAATTTTAAATGATTTCATAAAAAATGAAAACAAATATACCGGCCGCTATCACCAGTTAGTATAGCTCTGCTTTATTGCTCGTACAAGCCAGTCTTTTAGTCATAAAGGATGTACTTAATTACATAAAAGCAACAGTTTTGACATTAAATAGTTTGACTTGTGAAATATATATAAATTGATCTAGTCGATTGACATGATTTCTCTGTAAAGGCGTTTTTTAATAGGTCTCGAAAATTACATTTAACACTTTCAAAACATTATATGAGATGAGAGCTGTCGAATATTTTACAAAATAAATTGAATGTACAGATCGTAAATTGTTGGGTATTAATATCAATATCGAAATAATTAAATTTCACAGTTTTCCTTTGGATCAATATTGATCTTAATGATATCAAATCATATTTAGTATTAATACTGGTTAATTCCGTATAGTGTGAATTATGAGGATAAAATGTGTCTCTTTAGGGCGTTTATGACTGGAAAATATTTTAAAGATGCAGGTCTTTATTTTGGCTTTAAATGTTATATAAACTATTATGTAGACATGGATTGACATGGCATGTCAATAATCAACTCTCTAGACCATCGGTAATAAACAAACTATGCTACATCTTTTCAAACTTCAAACAGTGATACCTTCGCTCAGAATAACGTAATTTCGATGAAATTTTCATTATATCCATTTTGCATTATCTATCTTTGAACTATTATAGAAGCTCTTACACAATCTTACATAATGCATCTTTAATCTATGTTTTTATATCAACAATATCCACATTCAATTCCCCTGTGAATTTAATAAATGAAATCGTGTTATATCTAAGCCTTTAAACAACTGGGCTTTCAACGGCTTCGACGGCGTGCAATAAGGGTAGCCCATGTCGCCAGTGCTATTAAATGGCTACATGAAACGATGTCATACTTCTTGAATATTAACATATAAATACATTTTCCTTTTCAGGTAAAAATCTGGTTCCAGAATCGTAGAATGAAGTGGAGAAATTCTAAAGAACGCGAACTCTTATCATCTGGTGGATCACGCGACTCCACTTTACCAAATAAGAACAATCCTAATCCTGATTTAAGTGACGTCAGAGATGATAACCTCATAATTGATGACGTTGAAGAACACGAGGCTGGAATTTCTAACGAAAGATATTGTTCACCTATCAACAGTCCTGTGCCGAACAGTCCAGAATGCCTCGAACATTTAGACACAATTGATGAATTACATCATTCAGAAGACGACTCTGATGAAGAAATCGATGTGTCTTGAATACTTTGTCCTTAAAAACTAACATGTAGCTTCCAGTTGTAAATGATTAAGATTATAGCAAATCAGTGCTGAAACGTATGAGTACTTTAGTATAATGTTGCTGAGAGCCTATGCGTATATGACAGGGAAGATAACTCTTTCACGGTTTCTCGTGATGTGATAAATGCAGGGCGTTTATCGTTGGATCTGTCGGAAAGGTGAACAGAGCTATTATTATTCAATGGTACTTACTCCATTACCGTTACCACGAGTTTACCATTAAGCAAATTAGAATATTATGTTCAAAGCATGGTGACTTGAGAATGGGATAATCCTATTCAGGGCATCGTGAATACCCTATCTTATAATGCTCTTTTAAAAATATGTGCAATAAATGAACATTATTTGTTGAATTTTAAACTGTTGTGTATCAAGATTGCTGGATATTTAAATGTATCGTACGAATGGCGTGTTCCGTCAATTAGGTTATGTTCGACCATGTCACGTAGCAAATATCTTCGCAATAACGACGAGAATAAGAATATATTCCGATAAACCAATGGTATTAATACTAGCAGTTCAATAACAATTGCTACATCAGATAGCAATTTTGGGATATTGTTTTCATGGAGGGTTATTTTCATTGGTCGGCCATTTTCAAAAGAGTCGACAAATCATCTATTAGGCTAATTGATATATTCCATTTTGTAGGTAATTATATGATCTAATTATAAGATAAGTTAAAGACCACTGTGTATTCTTTTATGTAAGATTTAGATTAAAGACTGGTCGTTCTTGCTTTAATAATTCAAAAATAGATAATGATTATATTTAAATATTTCAGTAAAATTAGGCTACTTTATTCTGGTGGAAGTTATGACTGCTTGAAGATGTAGCGTAGATCGTTTATTATCGCAGCAACTGTACTGGACAACTGAGACTATGTCTCGATTATCCATTTTATCGTTAAATGTTAAAATCTCTTCGGTGTTCAAATCAATCGGTCATCTGAGGTCCAGAGTGTTGGTTATCGCCTGGTCATGTGAATAAATATTTAAATAATAATTTATGTAGGATTTCAGGCCAGAAAAAAAGACCTGCAATAGACAGATTTAGATCCTACATAGTGCATCTTTAATGAGCTAATTCTACATGTATGTAAACGTTGTTCTGTACCAGAATAAAAGGTAGAAAAATAGAATAAGCTGTATACTAAGCACACCACAGTGACACTTGACTGTTTAATAATAATTGTATTAATTTATATATTAATAATTACCTAGGAAGAGCTGGAAACTGTTGTATCTATCTATCGTAAAAGCACCAATATTAATTGATATAACTTAAAAGACTGGTTTGTTACAATGTTGAATGTTGACCTCGTTAATGTTCTTTGACCAGTGAATAATGTTATAAAGTTTAACAAACACAGAAACGTATAAATATTCATTCGTTAACTAAAGTGCTAAATCTAGTTTTATTACAATTTGTTTATTATAGTTTATATAATCATTATATATATATATTGTATTGCATTTTGTATATATGTATAAATACATAAAAAATAATACTAATTGAATATCAATGTTCTTGTGTTTCATATTTAAAAATGTAAAGGTTTTGTATTGTGCCTGTCTAAAGCACCTACAAAGTGAAACCAGGCTAATGAAGACGGGAATACCCCATGCAGTGTGTTGGAGCCGGGGGGGGGGGGGGGGCTTTTGCATGATCTACCCTTCTTTCATATTCTAACTGTAAAGGATCCCTTCTTTACATGCAGACCAACATGTACAAGGGACCTCGTTTTGTTGTCCTACCCCAACAATGATCCTTTCCGGACAACTAACAAGGGGGGGGGGGGGGACACGCTTGAAATTCCCAAGGCACGTTATCGACCATCATCGGTTTCAAACCATGTTATTGAGGCAACGCCTTACAAACTAACTTAATGTAGCTCATCAGTACCTTCAAGGAAAATCTAATATTTTTCACAACTGAACAAAAGAATTACTCTTGTGTGTGCTATGATTTCTAAGGGTTTGTGTCCGATTAAAGCGACATCTAATTTAGATATATGTTGTTTCAATTCCGTGATTTTATTTCTGATCAAATCAAAGTTCTATGATTTGTCACTTTATGAAGGTGTGATGTTAAATCCCCAAGATGAAGATTAACGAGGTGTAAATAAAAATCAAATGGATCCGAGTATATTGATGATCAGAGATTACTCAGTCATGCCTTATAAGTCCGGTTCATACGTTTGTCTATCTAAAACGTCACTATACATTCTTATGATAATAGCCCGATATTTTGTGAATCTATAAGGTCCGACATTATTTGATTGATATGTCTAGGATGATGCACGGAGTAAAACGAAAAACTGGCTGGAAACGTTAATGACATCTCTCAGATTCAAAACGGAAGCTTTGAGTTACATTTAAAATGGACGCATATTATCCCCAACATATTATCCGTCCACAATTTCTTATGAACAACGATATTTTCAAATTTCCAGTGTTTGTTATTGGTGTCACGAGAAAGAGCCGTAAGGCAATTCAGGAGTTATCCCCCTTTTATGTCCCGACTTATGAATGCCTGTGAATGCAAAAAATGACAATGTTCATTAGGGTATAAGGAAAATTATCAGATCCTTCATTTCAACGTACTTAAAAGAATTATTTTTACAGTAATTAGTTTGACCTAAAAGTCACTGTGCACGCTTAACAGAACATGGAATCTATTTAAACATAGTGGGACTGTTCGGTGGAACAACCCTATCGTAGTTATGCATTGTTCCCCATTTTAAATTCAGATTTGTGAAACCCTGTGAACTATTTTCCGATTGTACCGATATCAAAATTAAGAAAAGAAATATGTCGATCGTAAATCAAGTGGTCATCGCCCTCTAAGTTTCAAACACATTTGGTATGGTTTAACTATTAAGACATCTCTCCGTGGAATATTGAAAACTTATTTAGATTTGTTAAAATTTACTCACTGACATCAATTTTACAGCAAGCAAACACGGACGACTTCGCTGCTGGTGGGCTTATTATTGGGGCTGACAAGCTCGCGTCTATGTTTATTGGTGACCTAAAGTATGTCGAAAGCTATTTTACAGAGACCAGACTCCCGATAAAAATTCCCGTGTATATATAGTCAACACACAACTTGAGACCCCTATCATATGCTTCTCAGTTTCCTTTTTCACAATTCATCGACTCATTAAACGTCTCCAAAATCTCGAGGGTTTATTTGCCCAGCCATTAGAAGATCTAAAGAAATGGGGTTGAAAGATTAGTAATTTAATATTCATATCTAAAAGACATTGGATTATAACTGTCTTGTTCAAATTAATCCTTTACGGATTATGGATTACCTAGTTTTATAGACGCTCGTCATTTCTATTGACACAGACTCTTACACTATTTAAAAAGCTTATTTTATTAGAACTATGCACACTTGCCCCTCTGTGGTAGTATTGTTGGTCTCTTTATTGTATAATTAAAATGTGATCTTTATTTCGTTTCGCTTGTTTATTTAGTTCAGATTTTTAGATTAACTTAAAGTTCTGGAAAAACGAATCGAAATCACGCCTTATTATCATAACACAGCAAATAAGAATAGGATAGAATACTTCGGTCATGTTATGATTACAAAATATGTGTAATGTTATGTAAGGTAATTTTGACTTAGACAGCAAGTCTAAACGGGATCCACGGTGGCTCAGTGGGTGAGACTTTTGCTCGCTAACCTGGAGGTCCCGTGTTCGACCCCAGAGTTGGCCGAGAAATTTCATCGTGATTTTCCGACATGGTTCCTCCATGTTGTTTGTGCAGGACTGAGGGCCTGGCAAGGGAAGACGTATTGTCGTTCGGATGGGAAGAAAAACCGATTTAACGTGCACACATTGCTTATACGTAAAAGATCCTTTTGCAGTTGGAATTCGATATAAGAGTAGGCCGTCAAAGTCCCACCCTAATATCCAAGCACCATCCCTGAAGGCGGTAATAAAAATGTCGAAGGTATAACTCGGTCCATGTCGAAATTCGGACCCTGGAATCTTGGTCTTGAAGAATTCGTATAACTTGGATAAACCAGCACCTCACGACGAGGGTCGCGAAAATTTTGACGGACTGCACTAAACGCGGCAACGGGAATCGGGAAGGTTATCTTCACAAGGCCAAGCCAGTAAACTGAAACATCCTCCGGAAACCCTGACTGAATTGAGAGATAAAGGTGGAAATAGTTTAAAGATTTAATACGTATAATCAGAATTTACAGAGGACAAAAAGGGATTGCACCATCAGCCTAAATCACCCACGCGCAAATAGATCATACAAACTCGCCTGCCAAATCAGTCAACGTATCAAACATGTCACAATACTTTAATTGCAAAAAATCAGGAAGTGGCAGATCTCGCCCATTTTCTAAGAATAATAACTAACTAAATTTTATTATCTAGAATCTGCATCGTAAGCTGGCCATATACAAACATATAATACAAAACATGTAGTCAAAGTACCAATCGTATAAAATAAAACTGTGAAATTGAGAAAATAACCGGCATATTTTAACAGTAAGAAAATAAACAGATCTGTTTGATCCTTAAATATGCCGATAAAACTGAGTTAACATGCCAACTTGATTAATTTTGTGTCCGGAGATAATTTTTGAATCACGAATTTATTCTTTCCAGCGAACAATCACTCTAGTTCTGATGGGGCCCGTGACACCAATAACGCACTTTATTTTACCTAACGTTTAGACTTTAAAAATGTTTAAACTTGATTAAAGTAGCTGCCCAGTTTATCTATCTATTCTTAGAATGGATATAAAATAAGAATTAACAGAAGAAATAGGCCTTTATGTAAATTAACATGAATGAATGAGTACCTATGAAGAATTTGAATGGATTCAATTCATGAATGTCAATGCCGATGTTCGACAGGTCAGAATTTAATTTCATTTGTCTGTCACCTGATATTCTTATTCTCCCCACTTGTCGAGCTCTTCTTAAAACATTCATGAATTTATATTTGAACACGAGAATGTCGCCTCTTGGCCTCCGACAACTTTCTTTAAGTGATATCAGATAAAGATGAAACGTGTAGAGTAATAATTCTACCTCCTTCAGCGGAGGCCTGAACAAGGGGCTTAACTCTCATTATATATTCCTATTGGTTGACGGCATGTTTACTCGAGTTATTAAACTACACTAAATGTAAGTGTCGAATCAATTAGAACGATATCCGATCCGTCAACATTCCACTTAGGGAAGAACTGTTGGGGTAATACAAACCACAGATTAAACCAATTGGTCGCTTTTACAGGCGACATGGAGGCCTTTTTAGGTAACCAATAGTCCGCCTAATAATTGTTCAATAAATGTTATCATTAAGCCCCATCCCCACGAAATACCACCGAGATTCAATACGATTCTAAAAGCTCATCCGGCAGCTGATTTGATACTAGGGTTTAATAACTTCATAAAAACGGGCGCCTGACGTCGCCATTATAGATGATTTAAAATACGTCGAAAGCTTGCTGTGTTGGATGAAATAAAAGTGCGCAAATGTAGCTATCAGGGCAAGCCTCTTCCCCTTCCAAAATCAGATCAATCTGATTAAAATACAGATCTATATTTCGTTTCGTTTTTTTTATACTTTCGATGGCCAACACTACATGAAGATCTGACAAGTTGTAGTCTACCCGAAGGTCGTGTCAGGGGTCATACGAGCGGCTTTTCACCTATGACGTCAGACATTGATTAATCAATCAGCGTGAGCGTTGACGTTTCTAGTGGTTTACCCACAGTTCCGCGCATGGCACGTCAAGAAGTCGGAGTTAACAGACCGTTTCATTGGCTTCAACCAAAACGGCGGTTATATAACAACTTTTCCAGAGTACATAATACCCCAGACAGCTTTTGTAATTTACAAAGACAAAATGGTATGCCTTTTTTGTTTCTTACCAGAAAAGTAGTGTGGTGTATTTAGCCTTTTAGGGGCTGGATGGCTCAGTGAGTAAAGCTGGCTCACAAACCAGGAGGTTCGGGGTTCGATCCCGCTGCTGACCGAGAAATGTTCCCCGGGAGTTTCAAGCCTGTTTTCCCCTTGTAAGTGGTTGATGGTACGAAAACGAAGGTCTGATGTACCCCTTGTCGTGCACGTAAAAGATCCTTTGACAGATGGAATGTAATTCCCCCTCCACCCTTTGCACTCTATGGCTGTTTTCGATGGACGTTCGGTTGATTACAAATTATACATTACGATCTTCCCTTTTGGTTTAAACACGTCTTTAGTACTCTACAATGTTTTCAAACAAATCTAATACAATACGCTCCCTTGTTCTTTAATCTCGTCTATTGTCGAACAATAAAACCTTACACTGGGTTTGTTGTATTATTCACCATACATTCATCAGCCCATGTCTTTATTTGTTCAATTCTATATTACATGGTTAAATCAAACACCCCACCGGCTCCTCATTAATTCTTTTATTGACCAACTGGACAAATAAATACAGGTGACAAGATGACCAACACGATTACAAACACAGATCGAGGGTCTGTTGTGATATAGCTCCATCATTGAGAGGCACGTCGTGCTATTTATTGCCTGGAACTTATATACTAAAATCTTGGCATTTAGGTAAAATATAGGTAATTTAGCCTACGAATTGTTTTGAGTTACAAACGAAAATAAAATATATATATATATATATATGTATAAAAAGCAGTCGGCATTCAAATGTCTTTTGAAGCACTATCTAAATATATACTAGTTTCTGTATTAATATCTCGAATTTGGCGTATTTTGAAATTCATTCCTACTTGTCAAATATTAAAGTATATGTACTTCGCCTACACATCTTAGTTCCTGAGTGATGAATGATCTCAGGACTTGGGGAATCACAGTCATTGTCATTTTTTCGCGAAAAGACAATGGTTATATAAAGGGAGATAACTATAAAATATGACCCAAAATATTAGAGTTACCTCCCATATTATATCGGGTAATCAAAATACAATAAAATGTAATATTCCAAGTAAATAATCTAAAGGCGACAACGTTTGAAGTTTTTTGTTTTCTATTATACAGAAATCTACATTTAAAAAAAAAAGCTTTCGACACCCCTATCCCCAACAAATGATCGAATCTTAATTAACATATAACCATAACACTACAACCTTTAATTTAAAGGACAATATATCAATGATCGTGTCCACCCAATGTTACATAATGTGATAGAACTGCTGAAATACATTCCAAATATAATTTATTTGAACATAGAGATCTTTGCTACGGCTAATAAAACGTTTTGATTGTCACGAGATCAGAGAAAGTGAGAAAAAGTTGGTGCTTTACTAGTTCTGACTAATTTACTACCGGTAGGCCTATTTATATTTTAAACGATAAGTTATAGTTTATTCAGGAAGTCCTATTAATAAATTCAATTCAAACTATCATTATTTGTTTTAAAAGTTATTTTCTATCTCCGTCCACATGGATTACAGAACGCAATATAGCAAACGCGACCGCACAGAAAAAAACATTTAGGCCTAATGCTTGTTCAGAAATGATTAGGACTATGGAAGACCAAACATCTCTTTATTCAGTGTTCGTAATTCATAGTTCTTAATTCATAGTTCTTAATTCATAGACCTTAATTCTTTTTTCTTCATTGTTTTCGTATTTCGACATTTGTACACTAACATTGAAATTTGTATCTTAATATCAGATTTGTAAATTGTATTTTTGTTTGATTTAATTGTATTTTAATTTAAACTACGTTTTAGAAAATCAAAAAAATTAGCCTACATTTACATTTCTTCAGAGACATACAACGAAAAACAAATCTAGAACAACAAATTTCCAAATATAAATCTCCAAAAACCAATCTTGCAAAACGTTTTTCCAAAAACCTTTCTCCAAATTCATCGAAGCGGGACATTATGATGCTAGGTGTGGGCGGAATGAAGAACACTGAATAAAGAGCTGCTTCGTCTTACATATAGGCCTACTTACTAATTGATTATGTGTTGCCATAGTTCCGTATACTCATACAGGTATATCAATACAGTTACGTGAATTAAATTTCTAGAGGCTACACCGCATGGATTATAAATAGCAACCCAGCTTTGATTATAAAAGTATATTATGTACATAATCTTTATTGATCAAATATAATTCATCTGCAAAGAAATAATTGCAAATCTTATTCAGAGTGTATTTTAAGCCTGATTTGTAAAACGTTAAGCTCCTATTATGAAAGATGTATTTTTTTAAAGGATGCGGTTTTTCAGTGAATTTTTAGTGCGCCGAATCAGTAGCAGCTCTGGTTTCTAAAATCCACGTCTGGCTCTAAGTAATGATCAAAATGATAGACAATTACTCTAACAAAACAAACCACACCACTGTATCATAATGTCTGTCATTGAGTCAACTGGCGTGGTTTCGAATCCCCGGTTGTACGTGACAAGGAGTAGGGTCGCCTGTCCAACCTCGTGGGTTTTCTCCGGGTCCTCCGGTTTCCTCCCACTGCTAAAGACCCCTACGCGCAAGCGAATTATTGAAATTAAAATTAAAACCATATGTTAGTCCCGAAATGACCTAGTTTGTGTCGAGTGGACGTTAAACCCCATTTCTCGCTCTTTCTCTCTCCCTTTGAGGAGTTGGCATACCTAACCAGTTTATATTTTACTCTTGTATATACATACAATTTTTGATAAATTTAAATTGTCTGTTTGCAATTTTCCAATACCAGCAAAATTCCGATTTTATGCGAATCTGACCCGAAGAATAAAAAATCAAGAGATTTTTCTATGAATACCATACATACCTTTAATATGTCTGATAAGAAATGAATATGAAGGCAGTTTTTGTTAAACATAGATCACAGAATTGATTGTCCATATTTCGGAGACAGTAGTAACTTTCAAACAAATAAATGATAACAAAATAGGACTTTTTTTATACTTATACGAAATGAAATAAAATGGGGTTTAACGTCCTACTGTATTGCTCCTGATGGGCTAATGAAGACGGGCATACGCCCGGACAGCGGCGCTACGGCCTATGCGTATATCGAATTCCAACTGCCATGGGATCTTTTACGTGTAAGCCAATGTATACACGGGACCTAGGATTTCGTCCCATCCGAAAGACTAGACAGCTGTCCTTGTCAGGCCTTCCGTCCTGCACCACTGACAAGGGGGAAACCATATACTTATAGGGCTCTGTGAATTAACTATAACTGTAAACAATCAACATAAAATAATTGTCTATTTTACAAGTCTTTTCTGATCTCGAGATAGTCAATTACGCGTATGAATATTTGGTTTCCACCAGATAAACCCAGATATTCTCGTGCCTCCCCCCCCCCCTCTTCACAGCAGGAATTATCAGTATTCAAATAGTCACCGTTACCGCCCTCTCCTTCAGACAATAACTGGCCTTCCTTTCCCATTCTTCAAATCTTAGCAAAGATCTCTATTCTAGAATAATTGAAATGAAATGAAATGGGATTTAACTTCTTACTTTTCTGTAGTGTGCTATGAATTGAGGGAAATTGTGCTCTGGCAGGGGCGCTATGGCCTACTCTTATTCCGAATTCCAACTGGCAAGGGTTCTTTTACGTACACACCGATGTGTACAGGGGAACTAGTTTTTTGGCCCCATCCGAACGACTAGACACTGTCCTTGTCTGACCGCTCCATCCCGCACAAAGGAGAAACTACGCTGAAAAATCCCGTGATCGAACTCCGGACGCTCTGGTTAGTGTGCCAGTGCCTTACTTACTGAACCACCACGACCCCCTGTTAGAATAACATTTGCAATGTGTTTAGACAGTTCTATCCTATACATCACGTAACCTTGATGAACACGCCAATCTTGTCTGTGTATTACTTCGCCTTTTACGTTAAGGGGTGTGCTATCATTTGTCAATATCAGTTGCGATGAAAAAAAATTCCACTTATAGACTTTTTGAATCGATTTTAGGCTTTGTTGAGACCCCATATAAGTCACACACTCTCCATGGATGAGACAAGGACGCCATTGATTTCGCTATTTACAGTCAGTTTTACTGTTCAGTTTCTTCCAAATGTCTCGAGCATCTGTGGGTTGAATTTGTTGTGAAGCAACTTTTGAAAGAAATTCACAGCCCTTCAAAGCACGAGATGGAGAATATTCATTTCGGTTTAGCCCTTTGTAGTTAATACCCCCAACAGACTTGGCCAGAATACCCGTTATATATGCATCTTCCATATTCACGTACGGCATATAATAACTCGCATTAAGAAGTTTCCGGGCTAAATCTGTCGGCATGAAATATATATTTCCTTTAACGTGTGCTGGATATATTCTAAACGGGTAAGCGGACACGGCAACCTCGTACTTGCCACCACGTCTCGTTATTTCGTTCGTGAAATATGGCCCAGCGATTTTAGTATTCCATTCTTTTGAACGAAGTCTTTCAACTACTTTGGGGATATTTACAAACGTATCTTCGTCACATTTCAGCACAAATTTAGTTTCTGGGCAGAATTTTTGCACCCATTTAAAGCCCATTAGGACCTTATAGGTCAAATTAAAATATGACTCTAAAAAATCAAACATAACTATATCCCGAGTTTGTTTTGCCTCAGCTTTCAACTCTTCATTTTGTGTTGAACTTTGAGCAGTTCCGAACAAGAATACAAGTTTAATTTTTTCTGTGATATTAAACCCTGGCCACGAGTTATTCCTTGCCAAACTCCCCCAGGTGTTCCGGATGGCGTCTCTATATTCGCCACTTGAGTGCATACTCAGTACTAAAACTGTCAAAAATGGCGGATCATTGACACAATCTGGGTCACCGGAAATGACTACGTTATAGTTCAGTGGGTTAACAACAGATTTGCGGGGTGTAAAAAACAATGGATTGTTTTCCGGTCGATACCATATGTGTTGCCTAGCAGTAGTTGTTGTTTGTAGCACAGTTGTCACGGGTTTCTGTTCTTGTCGTGGAATGGCCGGAGTTGGAATACCATGACGACTTTCAACGGCAACAAAACTGTCAGTCAGAAGATTAACTACCACGTAAAAGAAAGCCACTAGCAGCACAACAAAATAAGGACAAAATTTTCTCATTCTGCCGGTCATTTTAGGAAACATCTGAAAAAAAAAGCCCAAATTATAAGACTGATATGGATGAATTTATTATTAAAAACAAATAAAATAGGGTTTAACGTCGTACAGATCTGCTCCGACTTGACTTATGAAGACGGGCATACGCCATACAGTGTGCTATGAGGGAAGTCTGGCCCGGATAGTAGCGCTAAGGCCTACTCTTATATCGAATTCCAGCTGTCAAGGGATCTTTTACGTGCACGTCAATGTGTACGCGGGATTTTGTTTTTTTGTTCCACTCGAACGACTAGACATGCAAACCCGAGGTCCCATACACATTGGCGCGTGCATGTACAAGAACCATTGGCAGTTGGAATTTGATATAAGACGAGGTCGTAGGGCCGCTGTCCGGGTAACATTTCCCTAATAGCACACTTTATGGCGCATGCCCGTCTTTATTAGCCAATTTAAAGTTTCGCTCCTCCATTTTTAGATTACATCAAAACATGTCTGAACTGTTCTAATTTATTTAATATCGGAGAAATCCAATGCCACCGAGAGTGGATTATGGTCTGGATACGTTCATTAATGTCTAATTAAACATACATTATGCAAGAGCTAAATCTCTCTATTGCAGGTCTTTCTTTAGGCCTGAAATGTTATCTAAATTATTAATTAGACATTAATTAACCTATCCAGGCCATAATCAACTCTAGATGGAATCGCTAGCCTGCGATCTTTGGTGGCTTATGCGCCGATTTACTGCATAATTTTCCCTCATGATTTAACGATTAAATGAATAATCGAGACTATGCTGTTTATCGTACTGACTTTAGTAATGATGATCGAGGCTAGGCGAACATTTCAATCGCTTAGTTCTCGGTTCATAGTGGATCAATTTGAATGAAATTTTCAGCAAATTGCCTTTACATTATCTAGTTTTTAACTATTATAGTGAAAACTGTAAACTCGTTATCGAATCTCCCATAATGTATCTTTAATAATTTAGATGAAATTTCAGGCCTAAAGAAAGACATATGCAATAGGCAGATTTAGCTCTTTCATAATGTATGTTTAAATCTGCCTATTCTTTAGGCCTGAAATGATCATCGAGGCTAGGCCGAAAATTCAATCGCTAAAATTTCGGATTAGCGTGGAACAATTTGACTGAGATTTTCAGCAAATTCGCTTTACATATCTAGTTTTTAACTATTATAGTGAGAACTGCCAGCTCTTTATCTGATCTCCCATAATTTATCTTTAATTAATTTCGGAGCGATTCACGGTAAGCAAATATCATCGGTGATACCATACTATAAATGGAAACCATGCCGCTCGACTCAATGACAGACCCTATCATCATGATCGACCCCTTGTAAACATGGCCTACAACGTAAAGACATTATTACTATTCAAACTTGGCGATTTATTTTTTTACAACGGGTCCGAGTTCTTACGGCAAGACTGTCCAGTTAGACCGCAGTTGTACCAGCCACACTGTATTACCGTGTAGGCCTATCTTCAACCTTGTACGGTTAATCTCAATACTCATAGACTAGATAATTCACCAAAATATTCAACTCATTTAAAAATATGTCAAGCACTACAGGGGTGTAACTGTGAGGGGGTGGGTGGGGGGGGTGGGGGGTGGGGGGGGTTAGTCGGTCTCAAAATAAGTGCAGTCGGTCTCAAAATTATAGATCGGCGACTAAATTATGGATCGGCGAATAAACACATTAATGCGGTAAACAAACAAGGCCAAAATAGAAAGGGAAAATCCCACAAATACTTAATCGTCTGATTACTTTGATTTGATATCACAATACGCGCCGTTTTCCAAAGCTCAAATTTGTAAAATTTGTTATGCTTTCAGTAATGAAACAGGAACTTCTCAATTAACTATTGTCTCTTGCTTAAAGTAGCTAAGTCTCTAACTCAATATCATACAAAGTCTTACACGTTGAAAATACGAATTATTTGTCAATTCAAATCAACATTGGTGTTGTGATCTTATCAGGAAAAGGCAGGCTTTTGATATCCAATATTTAAGACCAAATAAACATTTTACCATTGGTAGACGAATCGTGTACCATAGTGCGTTTTAGCGTCATTTGCAACAAGTGACCAGAAAGAACGAGGCTAGACAAATTTAACTGGAGAGCCTGCTTAATAGACTGGAATAACCAGACGCTAGAAATTGCTATAGGGTTGAGACACATGCCGTATTTCGCTGGACATAACTGATTTGAAATTAGAGTCAAAACGGAAACAATTGAATGTAAATCAGTTTATATACAATCAGATTACATTATTATATGCGTTGCGGCCCATTTGGGTCAATTTCTAGGTCCCAAATATTAGCGATTTAGCTCCTTTTTTAACAGACACGAACGATCTTGCCATAATCGCAGATCGGTGGTCAAACTTGACTTGATGAAAATATGAGGACATTGATCCATATAAATGATGTAATTATTATCACTTTCATAAGTTGTCACAGATTCACACTACTTTGTAGGCCTACGTTCTTGCAAAATTCTCAATAAATAGTAGGCTACTTAATTTTACTCGTGTTAATAATTCTGCAAAATCTTCCTCCAAAGTCCAGGAAATGGCATTTCAGGGACTCTAACTCTAGATTCCAAAATTTCCTCTGGGGAGCATTCTCCGGATGGTGCTCGGCTCCTGGAGGTGTCACTCGTTAGGTTTATCAGTATTTTTATTAGGGGCTGTGCATCAGTCGGTGTTATTTTTGCTAAACACTCCTCAAGCAAAATCCATATAATAATGTACGCCTCTGAAGCAGTATAGTGAAACGAAAGACGTCGCCTTTGTATTTAGTTCGGTAACGATGATTCTATCTAATCAAGGCCCCTCTCTGACAATGACGACGTCAAACGATAAATTTGTCCAGCTCTCCATAGTATCGACCTCCAAATTGCCATTTATCCCATCCTATTACAGCTAATCTTAAATAATCATTAAAATTAAATTGAATAACGTCGACTTTACCATAATACAACACACATAATTAAAAACAAACAAAACCACCGCTTCCCACATCAAACTTTAACCGTCCGGTTACTAGATTAGTTATCTCCCCTTAAATTTATTTTTGAACATCCAGCGCCTGCTAAAGATTCCAAGCAGTAAACATTCTTAATCAGACGTTCATGCTACCTCTCCGGAATTTCCACCCTTATAACAGAATTTATACAATGTTTAAATATTTTTTAAAATTCGTTTTGGACTATTCTCATTCGAGAATACGATAGGCCCATTGTCAGTTTATTAAAAAACGTCGTGCGACAGTTAAGTCCACAACAACGTATTAAGTGTTGGTATAAGCACTGTGTTTATTAACCGGGCACGGCGAATTTAAGTTTTGGTATAGGCACTGTGTTTATTAACCGGACACACCTAATATGAGGTTAACCAAATAATGCTGTTAGGGTGGGGGTATTTACCTTTATTCGTTTGTCCCCACCCCTTCCACTATCTTTTTTATATTATTTATTTAAGGACACTGGGGTAAAAATAGTATCAAATATTGCACTTGATAGTTAACATTTAGGCTATCTTTTTAATATTATTTATTTAAGGACACTGGGGTAAAAATAGCATGAAATATTGCACTTGATGGTTAACATTTAGGCTACTTCAAGCTTACGTCGGTTTCTTGTGTCATTTTGAACAGCTACAACAACCTGTTTTATATTACATGCGACCATAGGCGTACGAGCTGGGGGGCTGGAGCCCCCCCCCCCCCATTTTGGACACCAAATGCTGCGAAAATTTGGGCACACAATTGCACTTTGTAAAAGTTGGATAAAAAAATATTGTGTTCTTGAATGTGTCCAATTTAACAGCGAATTAAAATTCAGAGTGTCTATAGTTAGGCAATTAAATAGAAATCTTAAGACTCGTACCCTCTATTGTTTGGAGTACAGTAAGCCACAAGTTACCGTTACATAAACAACTGTTTTTAGTTGTGTATATTACAAGTAAATAAAATTTAGTTCTCTTTTATTGATGATTTAGAAATTAAGAACTTATTCATCGCAAAAGAGATATTATTATTATTATTATTATGTAATATACTAAGAATCTAACTACTTTTTTGGGGCACCAACCACCGCCGCCCCCCTCCCCCAGTCAAAAATTTCCCCGTACGCCTATACATGCGACCATACTGCAATAGTTTTATTGCACTGAAATGTACAGAGAGCTTGGTGCATGAGTATTATATGTCTACTGTGAAGGTTACTGTCACATAACATTCGCGAATGTGTGAAATAACCGAACCTTGAAGCAAGCCACGTCCAAAGAGCTTAAATCCAAATACAAGGGCATTTAACGTAAAATAAAAAATTGAGGCACTATTTCAAACACTATTTGAACCAGACATATTATTTTAATTGGATATTGAGTTTCATTGTTGTCGTTATTTTCAATCACCGAGGCGTTAACTTCTTTTTTAAAAAAAAAAAAAAAATAATCTTAGTCTTAGAAAGGTTTACAAAACAGAATAATCTTTGTAGAAAATACATACCAAAAATAACTAAATATTGTTTTATTTGTTATAGACTAATTAATGCCAACTACATTATTATGGTTTAAAGTAACGATGCATAAATTGCATTTTTTGGAAATTATCTTATTTCGCGCCCGGTTTAATCAAACGTTAATTATGTACTGAGATTGATTATTTAACATTCAAATAAATCAAAATCAAAATACCAACGCTAGGCAGTCTCTTAGCTTGTATTCAGGTCCATCAATTTGGTTCAAGAAATATAAAGATGGCGGCATACCTGTTACATAGGGCGCAACATAGATCGATGGAATTTTCAATTCGTCAATCTTTGTAAATACTTCGTAAAATCAAACCATTTGTGAGCTGAAATTCCTATTAAAGACCCAACTTTCATAATATTGAACCATAGCGCTATAATCACGCTCAGAAACTTTAAGCAATGTTTATTCTTTAAGGTTGAATAGAGCATAGTATAACAACTGATATGAATACGAAAACAACTCAAAGGCTTATACGAATCTGTTTCCGTGATATTTAGATACATGTATACTAAGTGCAACAAAACTGTCCTTCGTCAAATGCAATAATAATGGTAATCAATTGCTTTAAGAAACAGGGGTTGCACTACTAATTCATTTAGGAAGCACTATGTCAATAACATGTTAATACTGAAGAAAATGAAGTTTCACAGTTGTCAAATTAATGAATATCTTTTAATTTTTGTCGCTTACCTTTGAGCTATACTTTTTTAATTGAACTATCACCAAACAATAAAACAATGCACAAGTAAACTGTTGAACTCCTTTACAGCAATATGAGGACTGTCACATACAACCAACGACCTGCATAGCACAAATATCATTTCAAATCACTGAAATAAAACACAAAACTAGATTATCGAATAATCTTTTGCGCTCTACACAAATAATTCGGTAAAATAATATCGATTAAACAACTAACTTTGTATATTAATAATCATGTACTTATGTAGGATAATTGTACCCTCTTATAACTAAGCTGGTTTGCTATGTAACTAATAAGAAAGGCTGCTGATAATATAATATTATGGAAGCGTATTTGGGTCACTACTTATTGAGATAATATCGCAACACATCGAACTAAAATATGTCAACTTCATGAGTTATATTACAGAAAATCGACTTAATAAGTCGACTCGACGCATTAAATTCACCTCTAAACGACAAAAACTATGTCGATATGTTTACATCATGCCAATAGTCGATTTGACTCTAAATCAACAAGTCATATTTTAATGCAATATATAGACTTAATAATGTCGCCGTTTTCAGTTATGTACCACGTGCTTAATTTCATTGCCCGAGATTGCTTATTCATGAAAGTGCAGCCAATGATGGGGTTTAAGCAATCTCGGGCAATGAGTCAACTGGCGTGGTTTCGAATCCCCGGTTGTACGTGACAAGGTGTAGGGTTGTCTGTCCAACATAGTGGGTTTTCTCCGGGTCCTCCGATTTCCTCCCACTGCTAAAGACCCCTAAAATTAAACCATATGTTAGTCCCGAAATGACCTAGTTTGTGTCGAGTGGACGTTAAACCCCATCATTGGCTGCACTTTCATGAATAAGCAATCTCGGGCAATGAAATTAAGCACGTGGTACATAACTGAAAACGGCGACATTATTAAGTCTATATATTGCATTAAAATATGACTTGTTGATTTAGAGTCAAATCGACTATAGGCATGATGTAAACATATCGACATAGTTTTTGTCGTTTAGAGGTGAATTAAATGCGTCGAGTCGACTTATTAAGTCGATTTTTTTGTAATATAACTCATGAAGTTGACATATTTTAGTTCGATGTGTTGCGATATTATGTCAATAAGTAGTGACCCAAATACGCTTCCATACTGCTGATAATATAATATTGATTACAGAGTGTTACGTGTCCATGTCAATTTCTGACATATTAAAGTCCCATGGCCTATTTTACATCACAAATAATATTATTCTTATTGTTAAGTGTATTTTTGTATATATTTTATTACCATTGGCAATTGACCAATGTCCGAATTGTATGGTAGCTGATTGGCATCATGTCGTGATGTCGACCTTCATAAAGCGACAACCTGACATCACGAAATCACGACATTTTAACCCGACATCACGACAACCCGCCCGACAGTTCGAAAAACCGACATTACGAAATTGTAACCCGACAATACCACATTTTAAAGCGACATTATGACATTTTTAATGCCGGGTTGTCGTAATGTCGGGTTGTCGTCAATGATTCTTTACATAAACGCACACGTATAGACAATATCCTCGCCAGATCGTCCGTCCTATACCACTGATAAGTGCAAATCACTCTGCAAAATTCTGGGAAACTTTCTCAACCGCCACCGGGATTGAACCCTAGATCTGGTTAATTAGATAGTTCCTTACTCACTGAGTCACTACGGCTACCGAAATTTGGTGAAAACCGGAGGAGGGAGGGAGAAACTGGGTTTGACGTCCACTCGACACAAACTAGGTCATTTCGGGTGTTTAGGAGTGGGGGAACCGAAGGACCCGGAGAACACCCACGCGGTTAGACAGGCAGCTCTACTCCTTGTCACGTACAAGCGGGAAATCGTAACCACGCCACTTGACTCAGACCTTAAGATCCAGTGTGTATACAGGAGCTTGTGGTTTTGTCCCACTTGCTAGGACCTTCGTCATGCACTATCGACAGGGAGAACAACGCTGCAAAATTCCATAACCTAATATTGAGACGAGCATGATCGCTTCTACAATTGTTCTGGAAAGGCGACATCAGGACAAGATAACCCGACATCACGACATTTTAAAACGACAAAACGACATTTTTACGCGACAATACGACTTCACCTCTGAAGTTGTTGTAGTCTCTACATTCTAGGTCACATTTGAATACGTGTATTTCGCGTTAACACAGTGGTTTGTGTAAAAAAGTCTAGTACAGAGGTGTGTTTATTTCTCAATTACCTACTTCGAATAGATTTTCGCTTGGTGTCCGTGCTGTGGCATGATTATAGGCTTCAATAGTGAGACGACCACTGATTTCACACCGTGAATAACCAACGAGTAGGACTTTCCGATGTGTTGGGACGTTGTACACCAGTTTTCTTATTGTGATCTATTTTTTATATAGAATATGCAGCAAATTAAAAAGAAAAACTAACCAAATTATTATGGATACTCACGTAGAGGAGACGGTGTCCATTAAAACAAACAAATTATAATATAGAATATAAAGATGATGTTACCCTTGTCGACATCTTTATTTGTCTATTCGTATTCTAAGTTGTCTCTCTAACCCAACACCTTACATGACTAATACAAACTAACAATGTTTTATATTGAGGCAATTTATTTGTTATGTAGAATACAAACACACATACAGTCTCGAATACAAAGTAGGGATTTGTCGTTTGTACTTTTTCTTTACGAGAAAGCATGTTGATAAGAAGTTATGTCATTGCGGAACTATAACATAAAGTATTTATTTATTTATTTATTTCAATTGGAGTCGTGGTGACTCAGTGAATAAGACATTGACTCGCTAACCTGGAGGTTTTATGTTCGATCCGGATATGGGTCGAGGTCTCATGTACATACGGGCAGGCACTTTAATAAAACCCTTGACAGTAGGAATTCTATATAAGAGAAGGGCGTAGCGTCGCTGTCCGGGGAAAAATTTCCCTCATAGCACAGTCGGAACAGGAATATATACTCTTGTACGCGGTTCTTTCTTAGTGGCAGGAATCGCGGTTCAGCAGACAACCTTTTTCATGTGTTAGGTACAAGCCTCGGATCCACATCACGAGAAGACCAATCTGATTGCGAGAAGACTCAGTGAAAGTCTGTATAGTCGACAAAAGTGCAAATCCTTGTAATTTACAAGTAGGCTCTACTGAAGAACAATTTCTGATTTGTTTAATTTTAATTATAATCGACCAATTATTACATAAATATTTTAATATACCGTTATTTAAGCGGTTTAAATGATGGGTTTGCACCTAAATAAATCGATTTTCATTTAAGGATACTTAAAATACTTAGAATATTTTGATATTTAAAATATGTTTTAGAAAAATTATCAAGAAATTTGGGTGTAGGCCGCGGACGAGTATACACCACAAAAGCATTTCCACTTGGAGTAGAATATTGTGAACGGTTTATATTTGCCTATTGATCTGGAATATTGTGTATGGTCTGAAAGTATGTTGCTTATTGGTCTGGTATAATGTGCATGATCTGAAAGTCTATGTTTGCCTCTTGATCTGGACTATTGTTTATGGTCTGAAAACCTATTGCCTGTTGGTCTGGAATATTGTGTATGGCCCGAGGTTGGTGTAGAATGGAAGAAAACAATTTTTGGAGAGCCATTGCATACGATTTTGATTTTTGATTTTGTTGTTTTGTTTTTGCTTTCTTTCAGGTTCTTTTGTTCAGTTTATTCTTTGAGTTTTATTTCTTTGAGGTTAGAAGCAGATTGTGGATAATATGTAATATTGAATGTTAATCGTATAGTAATGAAATATATTTGCATGTTGCATGAATAACTGTATAATCATATGGTTTAGCAAACGGATAGTTTTCCAGGGGGCTTCTGTCTAATAATAAGCATAAATCTTAAAGCGATAATTTCATATTTTTAAGTTATATTTTTAAAATGTATTAAAACAAAGCCTTAAAATAGATGGTATCAATAAACAGTCCTACCTTGTTAAAGAATAATCCTATAATTCAATATTGCCAGTTGAGAAATTGGCAAAAATATCATTTTCAACTTCAAATTCAAATGTTTGAAGATGGCTATTCCATGGGAGGGAATAGAAAAACAAGGGAGGTAATTGTGAAATTATTTCTGGGGTCAATGATTTTTAAGTGTGAGAATGATACCTATGATCGTATAATAGTGAGTTGACAACCTATTGAGCAAAAGACATAGACATAATTATGTTTTGACTTTCTTGAAAAAATGTGATTCTCGCTTTAAATGAGTGATGAATTGTAATAATATTTGGTAATTTATGCTATCTATATGAATATTAACGTTTAGTATGAGTTTAAATTGTTTAAGTGGCATTTAGTTACTGAATGAGAATAACACATGCCACAATTATATGGAATACAAGTATTTCTTATAGGATTTATTTCAGCGACGTTCGAAGAGGGTTCTCCTATGACAATGACAATCATAGTACAAATGAAGATATATATTATACAAAATATGGAATAAAGAAAAACATTAATATACAACCAGAGATAATCATTTGGAAACCATCCTTTCGGCACTGTTTTCAATACTGGGAGAAAAACAGGATATCAGGTCTACAGTCAAGGTTAAATGGTTTATTGTTCAGAACACCTGTGAAATTACCGTTACGTCATTAAGTGTTATAGACAAATCACATAATTAATTGCACAAATCCAGGGATCTAGAAAAATCAGGTTTAATGCTTGAAGAGCTCTCAAGGCCAGTATAAAAGCGAGAGAGAGAGAGAGAAATGGGGTTTAACGTCCACTCGACACAAACTAGGTCATTTCGGGACTAACATATTGTGTAATTTTATTTACATAATTCGCTTGCGCGTAGGGGTCTTTAGCAGTGGGAGGAAACCGGAGGACCCGGAGAAAACCCACGAGGTTGGACAGGCGACCCTACTCCTTGCCACGTACAACCGGGGATTAGAAACCACGCCAGTCGACTCAATGATACAGCGTGCTCACGCTAACCATTCAGCCATCCAACCCCCCCCCCCCCAGTATAAAAGCACTAATCTGGTTTCGAATACTTGAGACATCATTTAGATTCTATAGACAACCAATTGATGATGTAGTGGTTTTAAGGGGTTAGATCTATTTGATAAGGCCAACTTTAAGTTTGGTCAAAGGTCACGAGATCTAAACAAGGCTAGTGCTAATCCCAACCATAACCCTAACCCTGGACATAGCCCTTATGCCTACTCTAACTCTAGCCTACAATCTCGTCAAAAATCACCTACCTTATTTACATCTCAACGACCTTGACGAAAATTGAGCTGACCTTAACAAATAGATATAGCCGGTTTTCAGGAGTCTAGTCACGCTGGTTAGACTTGTACGGGAGTGGGGTGTTTAAACCTTTGTAATCGCGTAAAATGTAGAAACGGAAAGGTTGTATTGTTGTTCCTGCTGATAGAAATACGTTAGGGAAGTCCTAACAAAAAAAACAAAAATGCAATAATTTGGGAGCCATAGCCATATATATCGATGATAAACAGGCTAATAAATGTGTAGCAGAAAGAGAATATGTCAGACATCGGAAGTGGTAAACAACTCGATGGTACCGCTTGACATATCCAACCGACTGTATTGCTACACGAGTTCCAACCTTTAATTTAAAAGCTTGTAAACATGAATGAGAATATCGACAATTTGGCTTGCATACTGATAAATTGTGGTGCTTCTGTTCTCTTTACCACATATATGTGTGTGTTTTACGTGCGTATGTCTTAAACCCAGACTAACATTCGATCCATAATCAAATTCTCAAGAATAATAGCTATTCCAACAATCAACTGACTGGAAATCAGGGCCCTGTTTCTCGAAATCTTAACTAAAGATAAAATCCAAATTTTAGTAGATACTTCAATTTTGATTGGCTAAGCACTACAATCAGTCTAATATTATCCAATCAAATTACTAAAATTTGAATTTTATCTTAGTTAAAATTTCGTGAAACAGGCCCCAGGTTATCCAGGATCTAACATACCTGGGGCCTGTTTCACAAAATCTTAACTAAAGATAAAATCCAAATTTTAGTAGATACTTCAATTTTGATTGGGTACGGACTAAAATCAATGTAATATTATCCAATCAAATTACTAAAATTTGGATTTTATCTCCGTTAAAATTTCGTGAAACCGGACCCTGATGTACCGTATTTATAAGGTGTCACTTCATATTTGTGTTTTAGCAGAAACCGATTATTTTAGCTTCCAGAAGAAAAAGCACTAACAAACAATTTCTGTTAAGTCACAGAGGCATGTTTCTGTTTAAGGAACAGGTAAAATTACAGAGGTAAATCTGCTGCCAGAATATTTTCTGTTCTTTGACATAATTATTTTGGTTAAATATAAAACAAATTCATCTGTAAATAATAATTTATTGTCTGTAAATGTAATTTTTCAGTCATGAAATCTTACATGGTTTTAAATTTTGTGATTTCTGAAGGCTAGGTTTATTACTTTCTACTTATCTACTTTTTCTTGCAATTTTTATTTTATTTTCAATACAAACCTGAAACAAAATGATGAAACACAAACAGAAACATGAAAGTAAAAGGTGTTAACTTTCCTGCATATGTCATGGGGTATCCTATCAGCGAAATCTTGCCAAGGCAGCGGAGGTAACTGTGTAGGGCTTACGTTTCTTTAACATGTACTGTCAATAACACACAGGGCCCCAGTTGTTAGTCCACTCCAAACTGAACAATTTCCAACCTGCACCACTGACAAGCAAGGATAAGTTAGAAAACAAGCATGGGTAGTTCTTGGCCTCTATTGTATTGATCACAGATTCCGAACATAACAAAGCTGCAGACTAAACAGACAGCACAGACAGAGGGTGTGTCTTTAACTCCAATAACATATTCAGTATCTACATTATGCTGCAGATTTGCCTTCACACATACATATTATTATAGGCTGGTTGGAGAAGGTGACAAATCCAGCTTTGTGGGAAAAAATTCCTACCCAAATGATTTCTTCATTTTCTGAAACAACTATTTCCCTAGTGTTCCAGAAAAATTTTCCCCGCGGATCGGAGTTGAGCAAATTTTTTTACAGCACTTTGAACTTTTCACCCCCTGGGTCAACATAATGAAAATGAAAACCATTTATAACTTCAAAAATATCAATTTTACAGTCTAGAAATGTATTATCAACATAAAGGAAAGTGATACCAAGGAATCCAGAAATGACGTCAAAAGTAACGTACGACCAAAGCCGTATAATATTATAGATAAAGTTGCGACAATTGTGAAGCCAGAAATTTCATATGACGTCATGAAAATATGACCTCAAGTGTAGTTAGTCGCCATCTTGGGTCCCAAGTATTTGTACCTACTCACTATCTATTTTATTGTTGTGTCGAAGTTGGCTGCCCCCGACAAGTATGTATATAGATATGTCATAGAATACATTTTTTAAACGAAAAGTATAGCTGAACAAACTATTATTATTATTATTATACAGAAAGCGCACATTATTGTTATAAGAATAGTCTAATTCATAAGAAAGTGAAATAAAAGATACACCAAATAAAAGCGCAATT